AGGGACAGCCCTGAGACTCCTGTCAAGTCCCCCTGACCCACCCTGTACTCCTACAGAACGGAAATCTATGCTGAGTGGGGCCACGCACCCTAAGACCCACAGAATTCATAAGAATGAAATGTCAGATCCAGTCCAGACTACAACCTTAACATGTTAAACTTGAAGGGTGACGTGAGGACGAAACACCTCACTTAAATGGACATAAGTGGCTTAGGTTCACTGATCCTAGGATGGGGACAGAAGTTGGCCACACCAAGCCCCCTGCCCAGCTCATTCCATGGTGCAGCTGGGGGTGAGCCCACTGAGGGCGCCAAGGGGTACAGACGCCAAATCACTGCACATCTCCTTCTGAGACCATCTCTGTAAAGTAGATGCATATCTGCTATCAGTTGTTGATGGATTGCTCCGATGGCATCAGGGGTGGGAATTAAGGCCCTGATTTGTCATTGCCACCTGCTGGTGAGACCAAGAGCAAGTCCTTTTCCCTCTCAGTAGCTCCATGACCTTACATACATAGACAAGGGACCTGGAGGGCATCTCCCAACTGCCGGCTTGGAAAGAAGGTGCTGGCTAGCACAGGACATGCTAACATGGGCACTGGATTCAAACCACCTAAATTCAAACCCTCACCCTACCACCTGCTAGCTGTTCGTGACCTTGGCCAGATTTCATGACCTCGTGTTACAGTCTCCCTGTGTATAAACTGAGAAGAACAGTATCTAGTTCAGTGTTTCAGTAGGGATGAAATGAGATGACACAGAAACATGTGACATCGTGTCAAGGATAGAGGAAGTTTTTCATTCTCTGTACGTTGATGTTCTCAGTGTTTCCCCCAAGACATACACGCTCTGATGAGCACCAGCCTGGCACACTCCCCTGGAGGGTCCGAGACACCAAGGAACCCCCCCCCCCAAACAAGCAGAGTTGGACTTTTGTGGATGGGATATGGGAAGAAAAGCTTTTGACCAGCAACAGGACTTACAAGCAGTCTGTGCCCAGAACCGTACCACTGGGCAGTTCTCACAGCAGCGGGTGGGCGGCCTGGCTCCTTCAAGGGCCAGCCGCAGAAATTGCAGAGGGATGCCCATAAACAAGCTTGTTCTCACCCTAGGGCCACCTTGAAGGGCTGGCAAGTTAAAGGCAAATCTACTGGCAACCAGTATTTAACCTCCACTAGTAACAAAGCACGTTGCAGCATACCTCACTGGCGTTCACAGGTAGCTGCTTACAGAAAGACTCCTTAGCACCCCTAGGGGCCAACGTCTAGCCGGCATTAGCACAGACCTGGCAGTGAGGGTGACAAGGACAGCTGTCCCCACCAAACCCTGTCACCACAACTAATACCCCTGCTTGTCCAGATTTCTGAGACTGGACAAACAGCCCAAGAGGAAAGCCCTAGTCTCCTTCCAGAAGGTTCTGTGTTCAGACCACAGAGCTGTGGGATTTGGAAGAAGTAAAGGGACTCTTTGAACCCCTCCCTTACACACACACACACACACACACACACACACAGAGTCTTCCAGGCCATTCATGAAATCAAAGAAGGATGCATTTAACTGTGGAGTAAAAAAATAAAGATGAACACAGCCCAGATGGGCAAACACACAGCTCAAGTCACAACTCCTGCACTGAGAACATGGTTGTGGTACTAAGGCTCCTGGGAGCCACTCTGTCAGCTTTCCAAGAGCTATTAGTTTGCATTAACACACCGAAAGAGAAGGTCAGCTGAATTAAAAGTGAGAAGGAAATTTAAAAGAGGGATATCTCTGTCCCCAGCTCCAGCCAGGGCACGGTGCAAAGGCAGACATTGGATGAGCGCACATAAGCACGCTGCAGCCAGGGTTGCAGTCATGCCACACTTCAGCTGTTGATATCGACACGGTATACAAAGCCTGTTCAGAGACGGGACTTGGATTAGAAACTCTGGGTAGCTTTATGGGTTGGGGGAGACACTCAATTTCAAACAGAAATTTATTTAAAGTAGAGCCATCTTCTGGCAATTAAGAACGAGGCTCTATACTTCAAAGCAACTATTAACTTTAAAGGCAGTCTGGTAAAACCTGCACTGACAAGTTCCAAATGCTTATTTATTTCTCACCCAAACTTCTCAACCGTCACACACACAGCAAACACCACCCCCGTCAGATATAAAAGTATCTCCTCCATTTTTAAAGAACTTCAAGTCTGGATCACCAGTCAAAACTAGCCACCAGCTGTTCACCTGACACCAGGAGCCTTCCCCAAATGTTCACATTCCCCATAGCGCACCCCACAGACAAAGCCCAGCATAGGGTTCCCTGGGAGCTGTCCCAACAGCACTGAAACAGGATGCCACCCCCAGCCTCCACCCTACCTACAGCAAGGAGGCAGGCATGCATAAGGACGAGGGAGGCAAATGAGTCCCTTGGAACCTTCTGGAGAGGTGTGGGAAAGCAGAGCAAGGATCGGCTGCAATGCCCACAGCGTGACAGAGGGCGTGAACTCTGCAGCCCTGATCTTACTCATGACTACCCTTTGTAATTTTCCAGACACTGGTCGCCACTCATCCCCTGCCTAAAGGAGCCCTGCCTGGCTCTGCATTGACTTAGATTCCAAGACCCGGGGAGCATCAGGGAAAGTCATGTCACATATCAGAGTGGCATCCAGAACGAACGCTAAGCAGCCACACTGCTCAGGGGAGTAGCCACAGTCACGGGGGACTCTGGCATTTCAATGCTTTTGGAGGCCAGCTGGGCAGAAGGCTGGTTGGTTATTTTTAAACTGAGAAAACTGAATGGGAAGAGAGAGAATATGAATTCCTATGATCTCCTGAGGTCTCTTCCAGCTTCCAGATTCCACCCAAGAACACTGCATATGCACATGCATATGCACACGCCGTTTTATAAAAATGTACGCGATGTGCAGCTATATTTAAACGACTGCAGGAGTCACAGGTCCAAGCACAAAGCACTTGAAAGCACACTGCTTTGAAGATCAGAAAGCCCACGAGCTGCTTGGTGACAGCGGCTGCAGCGCACAGATGCCCCTGGTAGAGGCTCCAGCCCACCTGGCATTGCAGTTTGCCTAGCACTGAGTGTGCGCCGCTGGGGTTAGGGGCAAATCCTGGAGAGCTCCAGCCTGGGACTGCAGACTCCTTGCTCCTGGAGATTCCAGTCACAGGCATCCCAAAGCAAGGAAGGCAGCTGGAACAAAGGAGGAAGGGAAAGAAAAAGCCCGGACCCTATGCCCAGGTCCTCAGCTCGGCCACCATCAGGTACCAAGCACAACAACGTCCTCTCCTCTCGTCCCAGTCCTGAAGCTGAGTTAAGAGGACCCGCTGGATTTCCAGGGTCTCTCCACTTCCGGTGGACTGCGCAGGCATGAAGTTTTAAACTGGAGAAAATGAGGCCTCTCTGAAGGGAAGCTTTGCCCTAACCCTGACGGCGCCCAGTTCAAGGGCGTCCTGTGATGATCTCAGATCAGAATTTTTTTCTGACCCAGCGTCATTGGCCACCACAGGGAGTCTTTCAGTGTAAACCCAACCTAGCGGCTCAGATCTTGGCAATGAACGGGGGCAGTTCAGTTCAAGGCACCCGCTCCCCTTCCGCATCTCCTGGATCTGGGTGTGCACAGGTGCAATGTTGCCATCCCTCATCGGCCCCACAAAAACCTGCTTGCCTCTCCTCGGCCTGAAGGTCCCAGGGGCATCCAGCCTTCCCTACCAGGGCGGCCAGAGCAGGTGAAGAGGGCGGCAGACAGCGGGGACCGCCCTGGGTAGGGCCATATAGCGCCAGACCCGGGACCTCAACTCCAGCATCTCCGGAAACCATACGCATCGCCTGATTCCCGCAGCCCCGGGACACCCAGCACCCAGTGGGCGCTCGAAACGCCGCTGCACAAGGCAAGCGCCACCCCTTCCCTCTCGGCGCCGTGGCTAGGAAACCAGGGCTTTGTGTGTGACAGCCAGAGTGTGCGCGCCAACGTCCCCGGGCTCACACACCCCCTTCCACCAGTCTACTCGCCCAGCAGCGGCCGTGCGCGCAGCGGGAGCACCGCGAGCGGGGGCACCCTGCCAACGGCAGTGCCGCCAGGCCTCTGGCCACCGGGCCCTGGGGAGCCCAGAATGACATCCACGCCCCCATGCCCAGCCGCGGGGGCGGCAGCGGGGAGAGCGCTCAGACCAGGCAAAGGCAGGGCAGGGGCCGGAGGCGCCGAGCGGCGACCAGCGGGCGCAGCGCCCGTCACCCGCGCACCCCCACCCCCAACTTTGCGAGCAGCGGGGCCAGGCGGGGGCCGGGGCGGCTGGCGACTCGGCAGGAAGTTGAAAGGCCGCACTGAGCATGCTCTCCCGGAGTATGTGCGCGGGTGTGGGCTCTGCGCTCCCGCAGCCTTGTCTCACGCGCCCGCGGGGTAGCGATCCCGAGGGCAGTCGCAGAGGGGCCGGGGGCGCCCAGGGACCTCGGCGATTCCCCGGCCCGCAGCACCCGCCCGCCGCATCTCTCCTCTCCGGGGCACCGCAGCCAGCCTTTCTTCTTCTTCCCACTGGCCCAGGGCCCAGCCCGCCTTGCGCACGCAGGTCCCGGGGACCCCCTCCTCCGACCGGGCCGCCAGCAACGTGACCCCAACCCGCTCCTCCGGGACCCCAAAGCCCACCTGCCACCTCCGGCCGCTCGCATCCAGCTGGCTCAGCCGGAGCCGCCTCTGGACAGCCCCCTTGAAAAGCCCAGAAGCGCCCTAGTCATAGGGCCTGGGGGGACTCCAGCCTCCCTTCGGGATGGGCTGCCCCAGGCAGGTGGGCGCCCCGAGATGCACCCTCGGCTGCACTCCCGGGTCCTTCAGGGCGGCCGCGGCCAGGGCACCTACGCAGACGGCGGAGGGGTGGTGGGCGGAAGCTCTCGGCCGCGCAGCCCGGGGTGCGGGCTCTGTCCGCCCGCCCGCGTCCCCCGCGGTCCCCTCTGCGTGCATCTCCCGGCCGGGATGGAGAGCCTCCGACGCGATCGCCCCGATCCAGCAGCTCTTACCTCCTCGCTGGGCGGCAGCAGCAGCAGCAGCCGCGAGCGCCCGCCGGCCGCCGTGCCCGCGGGGCCGGAGGCGCGGCGGGGCGCGGGGCGCGGGGTCGCGGGGCCCTGAGCTTGCAGCGCGATAACCTGGTGTGAATCGGCGCCCGCGGCCGCGACAGTCACATCGGAAGCAGCAGGGCCGCCGCGGAGCGGGCCGCGGCAGGGACGGTCTGCAAACTCCCAGCCCTGGCGGGGCCGCGCGCAGCGCGTCCACACTCGGCCCGGGCGCCGCGCGGTAGCTCCTCCGGGGCTCTGAGGACTAGGGCTGGGGGGATTCTGTCCGCAATTTCTCCCAAGCCTCCCCTACTCGACCTCTCCAACTTCTCTGGCTTCTGAGCTCGCAGCTCTCGGAGGCAGGGATTCCGGCCAGGGACGTTGGGCAAACTCCCCGCCCTCCCCGGCAGAGCGCTCAGCCAATTCGGAGCGCGCCAGCTTCTCAGGGGCCGTCTGCAAACTCTCAACCCTGTCGCCGAGTACCTTCAGCCTCCCGATTCTGCAGCCCAAGGGGAGACGCCAGCGAGCTAGACAGTCCGATCGCGGCCGAACCCAGCATTCCAGCAAGGTCCTGGGAAGTGCAAGTGCTGCTGTGACCATGCATCCTCCAGAGCGGCGCAGTCCAAGCCTCCTGGGACCCGAGGCTTCCCACCAGGGAAGCCCAGTGAGACTGTGGGCTCAGCCATCGAGGGGTGCGAGCAACGCCCCGAGGCTCAGTGCACCTCCTGTGTAGTACGGGTTATATAAAACCATGCGAGTTCCTGCTACTTGGTTTTTGTGACCTTGAGCAAGCCATTTACCCATGTTAATTCAGTTTCTAAGTATGGGTGTAATAAATGCTGCTTCTTGAGGTTACTGCGAAAATGAAAAGTATTAAAGTATTCAGCAAGACGTAGTACATAGTAGGCGTCCAGTGAATAAATCCCGTTTGTCTTTCTCTGTCCCTCCCTCAACTCCAGGTTTCATGAACCCTCTGGACTTGCTAGCTGAACGCTTACATTGTTTGAAGCTCAAAAAGAAATAAAAACACATCTCATGCCCTAAAGGCACTACAAAGAACATTGACAGACATGAAATATTAAATCCAACCAAGTCCAGGGCGATGCCATACATTTACATTGGTAAGCATTATAGATCCCTGTTAAGTAACACCTGTCTACAGGGAGAGTGGGCTGGTGCCTTACCCAAGGGTGGAAATAGCAAGGGCGGTAGCCCCAGCAAGCTCCTGGCATGCTGTAACCAGTCTTACCTCCAGTCACAACATAAGGGTTTATGTCCAGGTTTCCCTGGATCTCACCACCTTCATTTACTGTCCTCTGGGGGGTCTTCATTCTGAGATTTCGATCACGCCACCCTGATGCTCACTCACTCCTGCAAAAGCGTGTAATAACAGAGGAGCGAGGGAGTTTTTAGACCTTAGAAATGACTTAGTCTCTCTCTCTCTCCCTCTCTCTCTCTCTCTCTCATTGTAAATGAGCTCTCAAGAACACACTGATGGCTAAGGAGATTCAGGGAAGTCTTGCATTTAACTTCAACCTCAAAGAAGTGGCTCTGACACTTTCTGATCAAAAGCGCCTCCAAGGACCTGAGCCTGGAGGACTCAGCTCTCGGGGATTGTCCAGGTGGGGCCAAACCCACAAGCAAATCTGCAGAGACGAGAGGATTCCTCCTCCTGAGGCCATTGGGTGAAATCCCAGGAATATTTCAAGGCACGTATTTCTCTCAGTCCCTTGGAAGAAAATGTCTCAAGCTCGCTTCAGGCGCCGGGAGGGAAACAGAAGAATGGTGACATCTGGTGGCCAGGACTCTCTGTGCTGTAGCTGGATCCTACAGGCTCCGATCAAAACAGACTCACTTGGAAGCCAAGATCTCAAGGGGGGGTTAATAATTGTACCACCTGGCTGTCCAAAGACTTCTGAAAAACATCACTCATTCCAACTTTATGGATCCGCCACTTCATAGCATGCTGCAGATGGTTATTTCAGAACATTTTGATGAAAAGTGTGTGTACATTAAATATACAGTATAAGGATACAAATTCAGGTGTATATGAAAATACATGCATTTTCTATATTAGTAGTATATACTCCAATAACTTACATAAATAATATACTTGCAACGCCTTTGAGAGAAATCAAGTCCACCTTGATTGTTTTTCCCACAGTTAAGATTGTGACTTACAATCATTGCTAAATAACACTGTACACACACAGGTGCTCTCCTGGATGGAGTTATGTATCCCATCATGTTCTCTCAAGAGAGTGCGTTACAAACTGAAGAGGAAGCAAATAACAGGCTGGAGTTTCAACACCCCTGGCAGCTGATGGCCACGGTCATGTGTCCATGGGGGACATCTCATCCTTTCTAGCATTTCCACTACCAATGCAGAATGGAGCTTAGGTTAAAAGAAGGAAGATGTGGGGGATGATTTCATGACAATGCCACAGCGTCTGTTGGGATGGCTAAGTTGGCTCTTAACTGTATTGCTCCACTTCTGTCCATGTATTTGTTCCGTGTACCACACTTCAGATAATCACTCAATTAGACACATGAAAACACAACTCGAGCCACACAATCAAGGCCATTGTTTCCTGGCATCTCTTACTAGGCTCTATGTGAATTGTAATTACCCTCATTACAATTCACACATCAGATGAGCCTGAAAGTGTTGGCCACTTAGATCCTCAGCTGTCAGAAATCTTACATGGCAGCAGATTTTACCATACCCATTTTATAGAAGGAGCAGTGAAGACTCAGACAAGCCAAATCATACACCTACCAGTAGGGACTGTTGATAAGATTCCAAAGTTTCTCTTACTCCAAAGCCCAGCATCTTTCTCCCACCTCGTGCTGCACAACCAGGGGGGGAGTGTTAGATCCGAGCAGCCACTACTCTAAAGGAGCTATGTAAGGTATGATATATAGGGGTCGGTGCTGTGGAATAACAGGTAAAACTGGACCTGTGATGCTGGCATCCCATACGGGTGTCAGTTTGAGTCCCAGCTGCTCCACTTCTGATCCAGCTCCCTGCTAATGTGCCTGGGAAAGCAGTGGAGGATGGCCAAAGTCCCTGGGCCCCAGCACCTATATGGGAGACCTGGATGAAGCTCCTGGCTCCTGGCTTTGGCCTGGCTCAGCCATGGCTGATGCAACCATGTGAGAGTGAACCAGCAGTTGGAAGACTCTCTCTCTCTCTTTCTCTCTCTCTCCTCCCTCCCCCCACCCCCAATGCTCTACCTTTTGAATAAAATAAATAAATCTTCTTTAAAAAATAGATGTATAAACCCTAGGGAAGCAAAAGACATCAGAGATGGGTTATCTAGTCTGATTAAGGCTGAGGATTGACAGCCTTGCTGCTTCTAGGTTTCTGATGCCGGCAATTTACAGGCATTAGGTGGCAAAAATATATTATCAATTGTATTGGCCTGGAATAAAGTGCCATTGATATCAAGCTTTTGGGAGCCCAGTTGGCAGCTGAAGGAGGTAGGGACTGCAGGAATAAGGTTCTTGTTTTCATGGAACTGGACAGCTTAAAGAAAGAGGTTAACAAATTCAAATTCCCAAATCCTCAACTCAAAGTACATATAGTTCAGGGTTTTCTATGACTTCTGACACAAACAGGAAAACAAACAACAACAAGAAAGCTTCTAATTGTTAGCAGAGGAAAGTCCAGATGGGCGAAAACTCAAAACAAAGGCTGATTACCAAATTTTAAAGTCACTTGAATGCATGGCCTGACCACTTTCAAACCCAGAGCATTGCGTAAAACAGAACAGAGTAGAACCCCGAGGGGTGAATGGAGAAACATGGGAGATTCAGATGTCTTAATGTGTTCCACACCCTCAGAGCCTACTGCTGGCTTCTTTGCCAAGTGCAGATAATCATGAGGTGCCTGCTGCCTTGACTGAGATGCGGTAATGACCTGGGCTGAGGCGTCGCCTTGAAACCTCATACCTGAGGGCAAAACCTCCCTCATTTGTCTCCTGCAGAGAGTGCAATCCCATCATGCCTCTAAAGATAACTGAAAGGCAAATTCTGGAGGAAAAAACTTACCCACCACAGGACTTGTAGTGTCCTCCTAATGTGTAGAGGCAAAGCTCAGAAACACATCTGGAGAGAGATCCTGAGAGCGCTATACCAAGGAAGGGAGAATGTGGCTTTCCATCAGGCTGTGGAGGGGTCACCAAGGATTCCAGACTCAGCGTGCTCACTTGCGAGGTTGGGCGTTGTATTCATCGTCTACTTGATTGGCTGCTGCAATCGGGGCTCTTGGGGTCTGGTATAAATAACAGTGGTAGCCGGCACACGTAAAATTCTTATGGAGTACTTTCATACATTCAGGTAGTCAATCCCAATACACAACCTGTGAGTTATGTGTTACCTCCCTCTTTCATAAAAGATGAAACTGAGGCACAAAGAAGTTCAATTTTCCTCGTGTATCCTGTAAATGATAGAGATGCGATTCCAATTAGATGCCAGTCTTCTGTGTTTGAGTCTGTGTGAAATTTCTGATGAAGGTGAGATGCCAGAAATACATTGGTATTATGCAGTGGGAGGTGTTCAAGAATTAATACTCAAAGAGATTTCTCAAGCATGATGCACTTGTCCACCCCAAACATGTTCCCTGAGAAGAAGACACACTAGCTGCAGCCCTAAGAAGTCCTCCAGTTAGGGGAATGCCAGTATTGTTGAAGAGCACTGCTGTGGTTTTCCTCAGGGGGCCAGGTTGGCATCCCATATGGGCACTGGTTTGAGACCCAGCTGCTCCACTTCCCATCCAGCTCTCTGCTATGGCCTGGGAAAGCAGTGGAGGATGGCCCAAGTCCTTGGGCTCCTGAACCCACATGGGAGACCGGGAAGAAGCTCCTGGCTCCTTGCTTCAAATCGGCGCAGTTCCAGCCATTGTGGCCAATTGGGGAGTGAACCATCACATGGAAGACCTCTTTCTCTCTGTCTCTGCATCTCCTCTCTCTCTCTGTAACTCTGACTTTCAAATAAATAAATCTTTTTTTAAAAAAAGAATGTTTAGTGATACATTGTTGAAAAATCCCCTTTCCCCTCCCCTCCACCTTGGTCACACAACACAGCTGCATCTGC